TGAGCGGCAAAGGGGCCGAGAGGGACCCCGCTGGTGGGTCCGGCCTGGAGTGTCAAACCGGAGCCCTGGTGCTGCCCTGCCTGCCGGTCAGCCAGTGTGACCAGCGGCCTGGCCTGGCCATCAGCCGGCCCACCTCGCTGGACAGGCGCCACACTAACCTCCCAGGCTCACTCTAGGGTGGGAAGGGCCTCTCCTCCCCGCCCTGCGGGCAGCCTGGCCCTGGGTTCAACACTGAGGGCAGGGATCCTGCCGGAGGAAGGGCGAAGGGCGGGGATCCACTCAGACAGGCTGGAGTTGCGCCAGGTGTGGTGGGGCCCAGTTCTGGGAAGTCACGCGGGGGCACCTCCTGCCCCTGCTCCTGTATCCCCATCCCTTGGTCCTCTCCCCGTGCCCATCCCAGCATGAAACTGGTGCCAGCACTTCCTCCCCCGCTGCTTGATCTGCCAGGGCCGGGGCATGTCCTGGAACTTGGTTCCTCTCTGCTCTTATCCACTTAACAACCCCCATCTCCCCAAAGACCCTGCGGGGTGCTCAGCCCTCAGGGTGGGTGGGTGGAGCCTGGGCGCTAAGGCTGCCCCCTACCAGTAGGGGGCCTAAAGGCCTTCCCAAGCTCTGGAGCCTTGGGGGAAAGGGATGTTAATTCTCACCTTGGGGTGCTATTCTGAGCATTAAGGAGGTCAGTGTTTGTAAGCCTGGCACACACAAGAAAGGCCCTAACAAATGGCAGCAACTTCCTGTTCAAAGAAAAGTGATTGTGCCCTCCAGGGGCCCGCAGGCCAGTGTCCAGGCTGGTCCCAAGTGAAGGGTTTCAAGACAGTGCTCGGCCCCAGGACTAGGAAGAGCTGGGACAGTCAGGTCTGTGCGCAGGGGACAGACCTTCCCCTAAGCAACCCCCAGCCGGGGACAAACCTGCAGGGTGAGGGCAGCAGAGGGCAGTGGCTGTGCTATTAGCGGTGGCCAAGAAGGGGGCCCAGGACTACCAGGTAGACTGTGTGGGGGCAGCCCATGCTACCAGCCAGATCCACATCTGGCAGGGAAATGGGGCCAACTCTTCCTCCACAGGCCCTGGACTAGCCCCTGAGCTGAGGGCCAGTTGGATGTGATGACAGGGGAGCAGGGTCTCCAGAGATCCCATCCTCTTGGGGATGAGAGGCATAATAACCCATAACCACAGTGCCACAAGACTCACAGGGGACACGGCTCCCTGACCCAGAGGGGAGGCTTCTAACGAAAAGTGACATTTGAAGCAGGTCTTAAGGAAAGAGTAGAAGTTATTCAAGTAGAGAGGGGACTGGAGCATCTCCTGGTCTCCCTTCTCCTCAGACTGCAGGCTCCTCCCGCTCCCTGCCCTCCAGCCTGGGGGAGGTAAGTGGCCCCTGCCCGTCCGTCCAGCAGCCCCCTTCAAGGACCAGTGTCGATCAGCCTTCAGCCAAGCAGACAAGGTTTGAGGAGCACAGAGAACGGACAGCCATGGGGCACAGACACTGTTTATTGAGTGGCAGACACAGGAGAGGTAGCTGGCTCCAGCACAGAAGCGGAGGCGGCAGGTCATGCCAGGGTGCCGTGCGCATCCGGCAGGCAGGGCCGTGCCCCCGTCAGCACAGACTCACTACAACAGAAGTAGCAAGGAGCTGGCCAGGGAGGAGGTGGCCACAGCCCCTGGGATCCGGGGCAAGAAGCAGCAGATGAACTTGGCACAGGGGCCTGGGGAGGAGGGACTGGGGTCTGAGTGTTGTGGGGACAGGTGGAGGGGATCACGTCTGTGGAGTGGAGTAGAGACTGTGGTGGTGGCTGCCTGGGTCCAGCACCTGGGAGAAGAGCAGAGGAGTGGTCCGAGTCTGGCTGCCCCCGTACCAGCCTGGCTCCCGCCCGATGGCGCCGTACCAGCTGCCAGAGCCTAGGCTGCCTGACATGCTGCAGACAGAGAAACAGGGTCGGTCACAAGGCAGGGACCGGGACCACAGGCACAAGAGTTGGGGGAGGGAGAGAGGCTTAGGACAGAGCCCAGTAGCCCAGACATTCCAGGGCCCAGGGCTTGAGCACTGCACACTGTAGCCAACTGCATCCTCGGGGCAGGAGGGGGAAACCAGAGGAGCCCCCACCTAGTACAGACGGAAACAAAGGCCATGGCAGGGGCTGGGCTGGATGACAAGACCTGGCTCTAGGCCCCCAGGGCTCCATGGAGCCGGCCAGGAGCTCAGGGGGCCTGAGGTGGGGCGGAGGCTCCTACCTGGTGCTCTCGCCCCGGCTGTGCTCCCAGGAGCAGCTCTCGTCCTCGCAGTGCCCGGCCCGATCGAAGAAGTAGGAACGGGAGCCAAAGACCTGCCCATTGAGGATGCGGCTGGTGCTCTGGGGGAGGGAGCCGCCATTGAGCTCTCTCCTAGCCCCCACTGGCTTCCCACAGCCACCCCGGGCCCGGCCCAGGGCCACCCCTCTACACTGGCCCTCACCAGGTCCTGTGGAGGCCGGTGCACCCGGAAGAAGCCCACCAGCAGGGTAGTGGGCAGCAGCTCCCACACAAAGAGGATGAGGCCGAACACCAGGTAGCCTTTGTTCCCCAGGTCATTCACCAGGTCCGCCTATGGGAGAGCCAGGTCTTAGCCAATCTGCAACTGTGCCAGTGGGGCACCTGGACAGGGCCAGGAGCCACAGCTACTAAGGAGGCAGCAGACATGCCAAGTGCCCACCTGATCAGAGACATTGTACCAGTCATAATCGAAGGCATCCAGCCGGCTCCGGGGAGCCAAGGCCAGGGCCGCCAGGTTGTAGCAGGCCCGACTGGCATAGAGCAGGACCATGGCACCGCCCATCGCCGCTGCCTGGCACACACTGGTCCCCTGAAACAGATGACAACAGGGGACCCTCAGAGAGGGGAGGCACCAGCTTCCCCTCCGCCCGAAGAATGATGCCCGAAGACCCCAAAGGACACCAGGCATCAGGGTGGTGACCCTACCTTGGCCTCCAGGTAGATGCTGGTGGAGGGTGCCCGCCGGGCAACAAGGCAGAGGCAGGCGGCAAGAGAGAGCGCGCAGATAACAAACAGGGAGTCGCTCACCAGGACACGCACCAGCAGGAGGGCCCAGGGCTGTGCCCGGCGCCGGCGGGACAGCACAGCACACAGCACATTCACCAGCAGAAAGAGCAGCGAGGCCCCCACGAAGGCCCCTCGGACAGCCAGCCTGCAGCCCACAGCACAGTCAGCCCTGGACTTTGGCCCTTCGCGCTCACCTCCCACCCAACCTCCCCCAGGAGACCACGGCGTCCATCAGAACCGCAGGCCATCCAGTCTGCACCTTGCTCCTCCAGCTTTACGGACGGGGAAACTGAGGCCCAAGGAGGTCAGAAGGTGACTGACAGCGGTAGTCCAGTGGACGGAGCACTGGATTGGGTGTCAGGAATCTGGGCTTAAGCCCTGGCTCTGCTTCCAGCCACATCTATGCCCTTGAACACGTGGCTTTAACTTTCTGGGCCTCAGTTTCTCCATCTCTCAAGTAGCCTCACAGTAAGTTGTAAAACGAAAGATGTTTGTGAAAGCTCTTATTGAATTGCAAGATGTTGTACCAAGGACAGGAGCATCACCACCCAAGGTCACCCAGAAGTGGTTTGGCTTTGGCGCTTCCGGGGGCTGGCCTTCCAGCTCTTCCTCTGTCATGGGCGACACTGGTACCGTCTCCCAACTGCTTCTGTTACTGTTGCCCTTCACACATGCACCACCTCTGCCGGGCCTCCTGTGCCAGGCGCTTCACTTTCCCAAGCTTTCACAAACATCCCCTGGGCTGTCCTCACCTTAGCCCTGCCGTGGGGGGAGGGACAGACACCAGGCCGCTCCCGGCCTGGGGCTAAGCCCACCACGGCCTGAGCCCAGTGTGGCCCGAGTACTTACAAGCCTCGGCTCATCTCCGGCCGACGTTTCGCCTTGGCTTTGAACACCACCTGGGAGCAGAGATGCCCATTATTCCTCTGGGGCCTTGAGGTTTGCCACTCCGCAGCCCATCCCCACCCAGTTACCGCGGTTACCTGGGCAAAGTAGAGGTTCATCAGCGTCAGTGTGAAGAACTGCAGGCAGACGGGGCAGCAGTAGAGAAGCCAAAAGGGCAGGGGCCCCAGGCGGTTGGCTCGGGGGGTGTCTCGGAAGTAGAAGGAGAAGAGGGTGGTGCGCAAGGCGGCCCAGAGCAGACAGAGTGCCAGGAACACCGTCTGGTAGCTCAGACGCTTGTGCCCGTACAGGAGCACCAGCCAGAGCTGGGCATAAACGGAGAAGAAGAGCAGGGCGTACAGGGTGGTGTAGGCCGCAGTCAGCCCCAGGGTCACGGCCGGTGGCAGCGCAGGCACCAGACCGGCAGCGGGCACCAGGCCAGACAGGTTACTCTCCATGTCAGGGAGGGAGGCCTGAATCCGGAGACAGAGACGGAGGGGCTGGCCGGGGGCCAGGGAGATACAAATGAATATGCAGGGGTGGGAGCTGCAGGGTGCAGAGACCGAGAGGGGGAGTGTGGGAGGAAAGAAGTTGTGGCTGGCCAGGCCCTTCCCTGAACCAGAGGGGCACTGGCAGCCTGGGGCCAGGGCCCGGCCCGCACGCAGGAGCGGGGAAGGACAGTCTCTCCTCTCCGGGCAGAGGGTGGGGGTGGGGAGTGTCGCCTCCGTGGGCCAGTCCCAGAGCCAGGAGCTGGGGGGCGCGGAGGCTGAAGGAGAAGGGTCCTTGGCCTTCGTCGCTCCAGTCGTCCTGGCAGGAGGGGGAGAGCCGCCGATGCCTGCAGGCTCTGGGCAGCGGCCGGGG